GGCTGTACAATCCCTATTGTAAAAAGGTCGAGCTCCAAAGCTAAGCAGGTATTAAGAAGAGCCATATGTTGCACTGAACAAATCAATGATGTGGCTTAGATAATCCAGAAGGACAGTATATTGGAAGTATATTATTGAGAAAATGGCCTACTAGATGATTTCAGAAAGGAAGTTGCTAGTGGAAAGTCAACCTGCTGAAGAACCCAAGGTTCCTGTTGAGACTACTTACAGAAGATCACCAAGGATAGAGCCACCAATGGATTCACTTGACTATATACCTAGATAGAGCTCACACAGTGACAGGTTAACATATGATGATAAGGGACAAGAGATAATTTCATCTTAGAGAAAGAAAACCAACCAAAAGACTTGGTGGCTGGACATTTAATGTATTATTTTATTAGGAATTGTTCAATGGGCTTCATAATCCAAAAAGAGAGCGGTGTTGTAACCTATATTTGTAGCTTTTTAATCAAGATTTTTGCTATAAAGATCTAATGATGATGATAGCCCAATAATCTGGAAATTTTGTGGGGTATTTAGAAGTAAGAATAAGGTATTAATAAAACTAATTAATGATTGACTTCAATTTTAGTAGTGAGAGTTATCGTATCTATTCAGTTAGTTGATCAATTAGTTGAGGAATTATAGAAACAAGTTTATAAGTTAGTTAGGCCTATGTACATTTAGTCTCGAAAGACGATCACCCAGTCTGCGGCCTGTTTCTCCAATATATAGTTTGTGATACCTGCTACACTGAATGCAGTAAATGACGTATTCTGACGTGCAGGTGTAATGTCACCTGACACGGAAAGTGTAACCAGGGCCAATTATTGTGGTATTGTTTGAAAAGTATGGACAGAGACTGCATACTTTTCTGCTACAACGATGAGGTCCAACAATGGAGAGATTGTTGTCTATAGTTTCGAGAGCATCAACTGTTTTTTTTAGGTTAGGATTATGTCTATAAAAACGTAGGGGAGATGTATTAAATATTTCACCATTGGTGGGGCCAGTCCTTAGTCATTTAATTTTTTGTATGATATTGGCTGTTAATATTGTTGCGTCAGCGGGGTCACGTGAATAGTATCACGCCACTCCTTCTCTCGAACCTTCGTGAATTATCGGGAGATTGGGGGTAGTCTGGTATATATAAGATGGTCACAACGTGACGGGAACAGTGTAATGAGTAATTGAATGTATGCGGACAAAATATTGTTGGCCACGTGAGATATAGCGTTTGTTATAGCGCGGCTGTTGAAATTAAGTGTATCGTAAAGTTGTATTCGGAAAGAATAAACCAGTTTTATTAATGAATAAACAAAGATCTGTAGTTGAAACCAAACTGTGAAGAACTTAAATGCAAACTGTAGATTTGAACACTATTCAGATAGATATGCACTAAAAACGTTATTACACAGTTTTAAACAAATCATGAGTATAGTGTAAAAATAAATTAAAACTGTAGTTCAACGTTGTTACCAAAACATTACCTAATTGTAGATCAATAGCTAAAGCCAAATTGTGAAGAGCTTACATACCAACTGTAAAATTGTACTCTTCACACAAATACTGAAAACTTTGTACATAAACCTTTAGCAGAAACTGAAACACAGGATATTGTTACGTCTCCGTTCGTTAGTTGATTTTCCGTAACTTCGTTCCGACGAAACTTTAGCGACACAAGTCCTTACAATACAAGCGAAATGAACACTGCAGTTCAAAAATGTTGCCAGATTAAAATTCTATCAGCTACCTGTCAATGAAAAACAATCAAATCAAACTGTGAATAACTTATATACTGAAAACATTACATACAGTTTTATACAAATCATCAGTAGAATAAAAAATAGATAAAAACTAGTGTAGCGATGTCACTAAACAAGCTATTTGGAAACCCATGACTTGTACAAAACTATACAAAGTATATCTATTTACTGGTTTATTCATTTATTCTACTTACACTTTACAGTTTTACTTAGCATTTGTGGTTATCACTGATGCTCCTGTTTTGTTTATGTATCTTGATTTGTAACTGTTGTATATAATTCATATAATTTCCTTTCCTCTTTTTGTATATATATTGTTTCTAAAATATCAAAATAAATTGTTATTTTATACTAGTCTTGCTTTAGTTTAAATATATATAGAAAAAGAAGTGAGGGTTTTAGACAACAGGGAGTAAAGACAATAAGAAGGAGAAAGAAAAAATTAGTAATAGCAATATTACATTAGTTAATTATCATTATTAATAAGTTAATAACGATAATTAATTAATTAATTAGTTAATACATACGTATTATTGTTGCAACTTCCTTTTCTAACAATTATTATCATTGAACTTTCTCAAATCTTATCATGTTTACTTTTTGGTTGTTACAGAAAATATAACTTTATTTTTAGCCAAGGCATAGCAGTTCATAGAACACCCCTGAGTTTTTTGTATTTTATCAAGTACAAACTTTTAGCTCATAGCTCCATCATCTCTTGACTGATTTGAGATCTGATTACAGTTTTGGACTTGGGAGGTCATGCCCTTTCGATTGATGTGTCTGGCCGGATTGTTGCAACATGTGGCATGTAGCCCTCAACCAATTCAAATCCAAAGCTATATAGCATTTTTTAGGAAAATAAATAAAAGTAGGAAAAAGCTTCATAATCTCCAGTTAACCCTTAACAATTCAGGTACTGATCAGGTAGAATATTTGGTGCCTGATCAGTGAAAGCGAGTTTTCTTGGGGTACTCCTAATTTCCCCCACAGCAAAATTATTTTCACCGAGTCTATAGATCCCTTTTATATTGTATATTCAAAATTTAAAGGTCATTTTTATGTATTAGTTCAGGTAAAGCTATTTAACCTTTTGCTGTCAATTTTAATAAGTTTAAGCCCATTTAAATGTTACCGTCTTTGCTAGTTTTAAATGTATTCTTCCCCTATCAATAATTAATTAATCAATTGCTTCGGACCTTAATTATCACTCTTGTTTATACAACTCCTGTTAACTTTGAACTGGAAATCCTTGGTACAGTCTTGGTTCCTTCAATATTCACACCTTCTTCATCACAATCAACAGCTACCTTTTATATTTAAGCCTTTATATAAGTTATAATTTTTCTAAATGAAAACGTATTTCCGATAGGTACTTCCCTCCACTCACAAGAACAAGATTAGCTTTTCTCATTTTATGCTGCCCTCTATATGCAAACTGCCCTGCAGACATTTTGCATCTGTTCAACCACCAATGGAGATCGTCTACAAGGGATGAAGGAAGGGATGTAGAAATACTACTATATTAAATACTGCTATATTAAAATATCAACTCGACAAATGTGAAGTGTTGTTAATAAAGTTCAGAAAAATAAAAAAATAAAAATAAAAAAGAACGTCTGAACTCGATAGGTGAATAGGTGATGCGTGAGAGATGTGGATTCCAACAGAGAGAGGGCGATGGCTTGTGGCATGCGTTTCTGAAAAAGTTCGCATATAGAGGGCAGCATAAAACAAGAAAAGCTAATCTTTCGAGAAGAGGGAGACTAATTGGTCAGAAATCAAATTTCAGTATTAACCTCTCTTTCTTTTACCGAACTTCCATTCTCCTGTCTCCAGCTACTATTTCAATTTTACCCTGACGTCTATTATGAGGTGTCAACTCACCTTATTTACCTTATTCACCAGCCATGCTTGTGAATCAGTCTCTCATGCTTCAACAACATTATGCTCCAC